GAATTGCAAAAGTCAACACGACTGAAAAATACTGCTGCTTGTTCATAGTTTGGTGTGAATGAAACTGTCCCTCACCTCGGTAGCAGGCCCCAAAAAGGAGAATTTAACATTGGAACATTCCCTGTGTGAACTCAAAATTTGCTTTGAATTTTTACTTCACTGGAAGAGAGAGTGTGTTCCTCAAGAGAGCCCCCGGGGTGCTGTGAGCCTTTAGGACAAGATAATCCCTTCATTGTGCCAGACTGCTCCACACTGTGAGAGGCTTTTCGTCCTTGGCTCCGCCCAGTGAGGGGAATCAAGATGTCTTCAGGGATGCAGCTTGGTTGACAACCAACACCTTGACATTGTTTCCTGGTGGAGAGGGAGTGTCACTCCCAGCGGGATGGGAGCCCAGAATATAAAGTTCAGTTGCAGGACAATAAAATTACATTTTTTGCACATGATTATGTGGCTGGAGCTTGGCACTCATTTACTCCTGTCTAGTGGAAAGAATTTAGGCTTGGGAGTTGGGCTTCCACGGACAAGTGTGCAACACGTAAGAGGGCACCAGTCATATCATACACAAGGTCGATTTATAAATTTATTAATCAAGCTTTTCCATTAATGAAAGTATCTTGGAAAAGACACCTGTTCCTAATTTAAACAAAGATACCATATGGCCTAGAGGCGGCCCTGACGGGGAGTTTGAAGACCTGGGGACCGATGCTCTTATTAGATAAATAAGAGCCATGCACCATTTTTCCATCTTTCATAAAGGTATAATGCAGCCTTATTAGAGAACTGGTAAGACAGCTAGGTGAAAAGAAGAAAACACTAAAAATAAATGCAATCATGTTTTCCAGAAAATGGATTTTTGATACAACTTTAAATGTTAAAAAATTTTGAAAAAAGAAAGATCATGGGGTTAGGACAGGGGCCCCCAAACTAAGTGCCTCAGTAATATTTTCACTGTGCCCCCTAGGGCCAAATACTGAATAGTTCTGTTATTATGGAGTAAGATCCAAACAACTGAAGTACTTATTTTTTAACTTAAGTATTTATATTCTAAGAACTCAGTAGTCTTATAGAAAGCAATGCACATAAATCAAAGGAAAAATAATTGTATATCATTCTTAAATAATCACTAACAGATTTGTGCTGGTCTAGCATGGCTCAACTTCTCAAAGTTTGAAAACAGATGGAACTCTGCACTTGTTTCCTGTTCCACATTGATTTTTGCAAAGTACTTCCTTTTCATCATAGCAACTTTGAAAAACCTAGCTTCCCAGAGATATGACATCATCTAAAGGACTAGAGCACAATCTAATATAGAAATATGTGAACTATTTCAAGCTAGTAGTTTGCACAATGTCCAACAGATGTCAAGTTTCCCTGTTTCCACCCCCCCAAATTTTAAATATCCCAGGGTGCCCCCTGTGAGTTTGCAGTGACATCTCACTTTCAGACCACTCCTGTGCACAGTTCAAGACAAAGGGATTAATTAGTACAATGAAACCCTAGACACGCTGAAATTAACTGCAGTAAAGGGGCTTATAATGGCCTAACACCCATGGCTTTGCACAGCTGTAATTCGGTCTGAAAGTCTAGCATCTAGAGCCTGTTTATTTATTATTGGGGCTTTGAGATAATGTCTTCAAAAGCATTTGTAAAAGTCTCATGTGCTGTAACAAGGGTAATCGCAGAATTGGCTGGTGAAAGAGCTGTCTGCTAGAATGTTAGCTCCAAGAGGCCAGAGAGTTTTGTATCCTCAAAGCCTAGAATAGTGCCTGGGATATAATTAGGCCTTAATAAGTATTTGGTGAATTAATGAATGAAAGAAAAGAGGAGTCACTGACATTTTGAACTCGGTGTTTTTAATAGAGTTGCAGGGTTGGCTTGAGTTTCACGCTTTTTTCTCTCAACCTGGCAGTGACCTTCCAAATAAACCATAAGTTGTAATGTGGTTATAGATTATATATGTGAAAGTACCTAGTACACAAAGGTGCTCAATAGGTTAATTTAATTTTTTATAGGGAGGAAAAGTAGGGTGGTGGAAAGAATGTAAACTTTGGAGTAAGACTAATCTGGATTTGAATTGGCTTTTGAAGTTGAATGGACAATCACCAAATTTCTCTGGGTCTCAGTTTTGTTTTTTATATATGTAATATTGAGATAAACATCTTAGTATACAGGATTGTTGTAAGGATTAAATGAAATAATGTATGTAAAGCACTTATTATAATGCCTGAAACAGGGAAGTACAAGTGGACACTATTATCCTAATAGGGAATTTTCACTTTACTTGGCTTATCTCATCCCTCTGAAGGCAAGTGTCGAGACATACAAGTAGACTGTACATTATATACAGCAAGCACATGCTATCTCAGGACCTTTGCACTGGCCTGGAGTGCTCTTCCGATAGATGTCCACTTCCTTCCAGTTCGTCTGCTCAAGTTCACCTTCTCAATGAGGCCTACATGGAACTCCTTACTTACGATTGCACACCTCCATCTCCCTTACCCTGCTCAAATTTTCTCCCTAACACCTATCACCTTTTAACACTACTTTCTATGTCATTTATTTTCATTCTGCCTATACAAGAATATAAACTCCGGGAGGACAGGGAATTTTGTTTGTTTTATTTTTCACCTATATCTCAGTGTCTAGATCAATGTCTAACTCAGTATGTATAAAATTGAATGGATTTAAATATATTCCCACTGAACTTGATACTTTTTAGTTTGGGCCCATTATTTAGTTTGTCAGCATGATTTTGAGAAATGATTATCTTTCTTTCATCTTCCATCTTTAAGTGTGGCCAATCATCCATCCACAGTCCATGCAACCAACCCCACGAGGAAAAATCCAGGCACCGAGCCCAGTTCAATTACTAGCTCTGTGAACCTTGACAATGTAGTTAGCCTCTCTGTGTCCTGATTGCATCATCTATAAAGGAGGTAAAAACCATCTTTACCCCATAAAAATCTTGTGAGGGTCCATGAGTTAATGCATATGAAGTACCTACAACAGTGCCTGGCACACATTTCAAAAATATTAGCTATTTTGATGGTATTTACAGACAAGTCCAGGACCCTCTCCCCTTTAGTCCTGCTCTGCATCTCTATTCCCCCCTTGTTCAGGTATTGATCCTCTCCTGCTGACTTCTTTTATCTCCCACTTTTTATCCATCAGATCTGAAATAAATGAGGTGTCTTCAGCTTCAAATCTCCTCTTTCCTCCACTAACTTTTTTTTTTTTTCTTAAGCATTTGCCATTAGGCCCAAACTGCTTTTAAAAGCTCCAGGTAACTCCCTGACTAGCCTGTGCCACTAAGGCTTGCCTATTTCAACAATATGAAGCTGAGAAAAAGAGGAAAAATTTTCTCACAAGTTGCTTTACTTGACTTAAATCCAGACCTATTTTAATAGCTGTCATTTATTGCCAATAACTTACCCCATTTCATTGATTTTTTTTCCCCCAAGTGTGGCCTCCTTAACATGTACTGTTTTAAAGATAAATTTCAGGCCTTCTAAAACAATTTTTTTTTGGCCTTGAAGCTAATTTAGAAGTATCCTAATATGTGCATGCTCCCCAAGCTTCATTCTCAGACCAGAGGAGAAAATATCCTCTTCCCTGGAAGGGCAATACTATCTTGACTTGGGCTGTGAAGTCTGCCCTACCTCATGCCACCAGTCTCAGGAAAAGGAGGCTACCAGAGAACTTGGCTAAAGGTGGAGAGGTAAAAGGTCCAAAGGATTAAATTTCCAGCTCCCAAAATAACCCCCGTACTCCTGCCACCTCCAAATCAGGCCCTGCACGCTTCTCCACGCTGGCAGAGTGCCACCTCTCTGGCTCCATCCCAGGAGGCCCTGGAGCCATGGGTGGCCTCTATCTCTACAGCAAAGCCTCCTTCAGAGGCTGGGAGCCCCAGTGAATTAGAGGTGGATGTGGAAGATGCATTTTCTCTCTTCTTAGTCATTATTCTCTCGTTCATGTCCTCTTCTCTCTACTCCTTCAACTGTGTCTAGGTTCCTGGAAGGCTTCAAGGACAGTGGTTTTCAAACTCAATAATATGAGGACTACTGTCATGATATCCCTCCCCCTATGTTCAAATCCCCCCTGTACTGTTTCTTTCGATTAGCTCACTTTTTCACTTAAATTTTTAAAGACTAGCTATTAGTATATAGCATTGCTTTAAGACCATTTTCACTTGCCATAAACAGAAGACTCACATATAAATATAAACAAAAATGTATAGTAATGGAATTTTAGTTGGGTAGGGCTTCTGGCTGCAAGCCTTGAACCCGAGTCCTGCTCTGTTAGGTTGAGGAATGCTGGAGAAGTGTTCAAGATACCAGCGTCAAAGTGAGACTTGCTTCTTGAAACAGACTGGAAAGAGGACTCAAGAGAGAGTAATTTTCTCATCTTGTTTTAAAATACCATGTGTACATATAACTTAAGCGTTTCCCACTTTGGGATACACTGCTTTGAGTTTTAGACTCACATACAGCAAATAAATGTGTTGAAATCTGATAGGCCCCCATTCATCCCATTTCCTTCAAGCCCTGAGAACACTACTTACTAACTTACTCAAAAACTTTTTGCACATCTTTTTCTCATTATTTGTGTACAGCTTCTGACCAACTACCACAGAGTATTTCTGATATAGGACTCTCCTGTGGTCACAAAATGTGGCCAGCGAATGGGTCTTTGGATACCGTGTAAACTAAACCTTGACCCATCCCCATTTTCCTGAAGGGACATGGGGTTCGAGGCCCATAGTGACTTTCCCAAGGTCACACAAAGGGTGGTCTTATTTTTGTGTTCTTGCAGGCTACTTGTCCCTCAAGAGGCTTCAAAAGGGTTGCCTGGCTGGCGCGAGGCCAAACCTATCGCCTCCACTGTGTTGATCGCGGTTGCCATGGCAGCGGCGCATTGTCCCCGCCTCGTTTTGTGCCGTCAGGGAGCCAGCGTCCAATGGGAAAGCAGGTCGGCGTCACGCACCGCCTTTCCCGGCGGGCCCCGCCCTCGCGGCCAGGAGAGAAGCTTCGACTGTGCCGGGGAAGGGAAGCTCCGGTCGCGGCCGCGGCGAGTTACGTCGTTTTCCAATCTGGCCGCGTCCGCCGCGGCTCGAGGCAGAGCCAGGATGTTCGGGATGCTGAGCAACAATTTCGAGGATGATCCCTTCTTCTCGTGAGTGTCGGGAGCCGGGAGCCCGCGATGGCGCGGGAATTCAGGGGCCGGGAGAGGAGCTATTTAAGGGGAGAGAGCGAGTTTTAGGGGCGAGAGGGGAAGCGGGGGACTCCAGGAGGCGGTTTGAGGGAGAGGAAGACTTGAAGGCATGAAAAGAAAGGGAGAAGACGATTTAGGGGTGTGTGTGTGTGGATGGGGGAAGCAGAATTGGGAGTGTAGAGTGGAACAGGAGGGTTTGGGGTATAAGATGAAATGAGAAGCACTTGGGGGGCTTGGGATGGGAAAGGAGTTGGGGACGCGGGGGAAAGGAGGAGAAGGATTTTGGGGCGTGAGGTGCGCAGAGGTCCGAGCAGCCCACCCATCCCCCACACATGTCTCCGGGGTGAGAATTGCTCTTAACTTGGCCGGACTTGGGGTGCCCCCTTTGCTTTCCGCCTTCTGAATGACGCCTTGGCAACTTGCAGGGGCTTTGCAGGTGACCGTTAGCTGCTGTCTCAGCGACTACCCTCTCCGCAGAGCTTCTGGTGTGAATTATGCTCACAAGACACTTTCCACCCTGTTTTACTTACAAATGAGGGGTGAGGAGTATCTTTTAGGATGCCAATTCTTTGAAAAGGGCATACTTAAAAACAGCATTTTTCATAAGTGTTTATGAGAGCACAGCAAAGTTGCAGAATTGTGCTCTCACCGCCAAGGGCTTGGAAGTTGCCATGTGCACTGTTTGTTTTCTTTGCGTGCTTTGTTACAAAGCTAGCCTTGTTTGGGAAGGGACACTAGTCTGTCAGAAGTACAAATAGGGCAGGGAAGCAGGGGAGAGGGTGCATTTAACCCTCAGGTAAACAAGTACCAACCCTGTGAAGGGTTCCAAGTGAAATAATGTGATGATGCCTTAGGAAGAAGACATCCAGAATTTAATGAATTGTTTCATTATGATAAAGTATTCTGTTTTTAAAAAATTTCTAACTTTGGCATTTATGTAAAGTTATCTAGTTGGATCCCTAAGACAGGAAGATTCGTGATATTTTGTTTGCCTTAGTGTCCTAATTTATTTCGATCAATTAAATTCTCTATGCAACTTAGGGACCATTTAAAAAAAAGATTAAAATGTTAACAGTCTACTTCACAGATTTTTTTTTAAGGAAAATACTATATTGACTTAAATGTATCAGTACTATTTTAAAACCAAGTAATATAAAAGTAATAATTGAAAGGGTAATTAACACTAGAATAGATGAACTGGTTAATATAGAAAAATTAAAATTATTACATTTTATTGTAATTAAAGTGTAGATGGACTCAGCTAAATTGTGCTGTTTTAGTTAACTTGTTTAGGAGCTGTTGGGACATTTATGAACAGTGTCATTTTTAAAAATTTCAAATTTTGCATTATGATTTGTTCTTTTAAAAGCCGCTGAGAGTAGGGACTAAATATATCCATAGATTAGTTGAGCTGTTGAAGTGGTTCTTATGTAATTGTGACATCAGTGCAATGGGTTAAGAAGATTATGATAGACAATTTTGGGGTTGTATTATGTTCCTAATTATATCGAAAAGAGCAATGGGGTTAACTGTGAATGTTTAGCTAGTACCTTATTTAAAATGTCTAGCAAAAGTGTAATATAAACTCTTGGGTGGCTTTTTCTAAGCAAAGGCAATGAACAGAGAGTCAGGGCCAGAAATAGTAACAGATGACAAATAATAGGCATACATCAAAGAACACTCTTCCCCTGTGCTTGGGATGGAAAGGACCAGCAGTTACATGTCCGTGGGTCTTTCAGTCATCATGGTCTGTAGCCTTCCTCAAATGTAGGAAGCCATATCATAAAAATTTAGGATAAAATTAATGTGATTAACTTGATAAAACTGATCCGTACTTGTAATTTCTTTGCTCCACAATGAACTATATAGAGAGTAAACATACTTTGGGGAGGTGAGGGAGAAAAAGAGTGTGAGTTTATATTTATTTTCAGTAATCTCTCATTTTACTCACCCCTTTCACCGCAATACCGAACAAAATGAGTATCCCTTAATAGAAGTCAAGTATAGAATTCAGAAAGGTGACAGACTTCTCATTTAACCTTCCACTGACCTTAAGGAACACAGAAGGGTTCCATGCCCACCATCTTTTATATAAACGTTCTATTTCTAACACTGTGTGTGTGGTCATTGGGTTCCCCAATGGCTAGGTTAATATCTGACATGTAGAAAGTTATTAGTAAATATTGTGTAGTGATAATCAGGTGTCCTTTACTCTCTGTCTTGTAATTATAATAATCTGGTATTCATTGCTGAAAATAATTATTTGCATTCAACAGATGCCATTGTCGATTCTGGCACTTTCTAATTTGAACACTACCATTTTTTAAATAACCTATTAGTTCAGAATCAAGGATATCACTATAAACATACTTTATTTACTAATTATTCAGAAGTGGGCAGACAAAAATATACTTCTTGGATAGAAAATTAGAATTATTAAATGATTTGAGACTGATAAGTTACTGTAGTTAAATTGTCAAGTGCTTAAAAGATTTGAGTAAAAAGAGAATTAAAATCTGTAGTTTTGAATTCAGATGTATTCATTTTCAATGTTTACCTTCCCATAACAACATGTGTTTAATGTTTCATAAGAAAATTAAAGGGAAACTTGAAAAGCAATATTTTAAAGTTTGTTGTTTTGCTATATATTTGGGACATTTTTTATATTGGTGTCTTATGTTTCAGAGCTAAAGTTATTTCAGTGAAAATTTCTTTACAGTATACCTTCATATAAACCTTCTTAAATAAATAATACTTGTAATTTGCTTTAAAATACAAAGGCTAAAAGCTGGCAATTCCTGGCATGCAGTTCCCTCTCAAGAATGCTACTTTCCCTTCTCATTTGCATTTGCTAAAGAAGAAATAGGAATATGTATATATGAGCAGGAAAAGCAATTTGAGGTTAAAATGATATCCTAAAAGAATTGATTATTTAGTATAGAAGTTTACATATATGTAGTATAATCTATAAATTTCTACTTTGTACAGAAATGTGAACTTCTGAGCTACAAAAATGAAATTCTGATCGTGTAAGTCTGCAAAGCTTAGCTATGTTACCACTTATCATCTATTAGACATTAAAGGCTCAGAAGCAAGTTGGCAATTCTGTCAGCCTTATTTTTAATCATAAATTGTTAGCATTTCCTTAAGCTACCTAACTCTTATACTCGTATGGGCACCATATATGTGATGACCAGTCTTTGGTCAAAGCACTGCATTTGCGTGGTGTTGCTTTTTCCATCTCTTTGCTTTCTGCAGGAGCCAAAACTTACATAGCTATAATCTCTGTTTAAAATTATTTTTTAAATTTTATTTATTTTGCATTTTGGAGGTAGTTGGAGGACACTACTTTGACATATTCACTGACTGAGTTGGAAGTGAATGTATTCCATGTACAAGACAGGTATTGACTGATACTTTTTTGATTAAGAATATTGTCATAGCAGGAAATAAAACAAAATTACTAGATTAGCTTTTGTGAACAATGTTCCAGGTTACTTATATATTTGTTTTCAGACACCTGAGATAGGGTCTTCATCAAGGTGACATAGTTTGGTGCTAGTGTTCTAATTCTAATCATTTAATAAAGGTAACTTGAGAATACTCGGCTAAAATTTAAAGTTTTGATTTTTAGGATCCCATTTTATGTTAAGACCGCTAACAGCTACAGTGATTTTTAGCACCTAAAAATGTCTGTTCTTGGAAATATTTTGACATAGATATTTCTTATAAATGAATTTTGCACATTTCAAGATATCATATTTAATAGATAAGCCTTGAACTGAAAGAATTTCTAAGGTAGACTGTTGATTTGAAGCATTTTTTTGGTTCATTGGGTACAAACCATTGATTTAGGAGCTAATGAAAACATGTTTATGGCATAGTTGCCAGGTCAAGGAAAACCATTCAGTAGCATCTAATCATATCATAATGCTTAGTTCTATCAAACATTATAAATATCCACATAAAAATAGGGGGAGGGGACCATAGTCGTTCCTGTAACTCTCTTAATATCAAACGTTTATGCCATACCACCATTTTAAACTGTGCTTCTGAACAGTGGGAAAATAGAATTGCCTATGGAAATGTAATTCATTCCTCAGATATTTCTTAGGTTTCTACTATATGCCCAGCCATGTGAACTCCATTATAAATTTGTAGAAGTTACATAAAGCCCATGTCCTCAAGATTCTCTTACGAATGTTATATGCATTATATCTAGTATTAAAACCTTGGATCACCTGATGTATTTTCTTTATGGACATACACCTCATTGAAACTAGGGATCATTTCTTTATGACCAAGAAAGCCATAACAATCTGCTGGCTAAGCTTTTGCTACCACTATGTATGGTGTGAAAAAGGAATTTCCCTTGATGAATGGGACTGCCCTGTCAATTATCTGAGACCCTTATGTAATAACTAATGTAATGGTTTTTACTAAGAAGCATAAATATCTATGTTCTTGTACAAGCCAAATAAATTGTAACCTCCCCCTCCAAATATATATGTTTATGTTTATATATACATACATATACTTTATATTTGAGAGAACCTTCAAAATAGGAACTCATCCTGAAGTGAAATTTTACCAGCTATTTAAAACATTTTTTTATGTTGAAATTTTTCTCAAGAAACCTGGAATCAATTTAAGAGTTAAAATTTTTTTGTGGGCAGAGGGGGCAACAATTTACTTTTCCTAGCTTGTGATAGGTTAATAATATGCAGTAGAAAAAGTACAATTGGTACCAAATGTAACTATGTTTGGTGTGGTTTGTGACCGTAATCCCAAAAGAGGTAGTATGGTGGTCATAATAGTATAAATACACTTTTTCTGATTTAAATTAAAATGCATCCTCATGGAAAAACCTGAAAACTATAGAAAGTTTGGTAAAGGAAATCATGCACCCCAAGAGTTTAGCTCTATCATTATTTTGGTGTATTTATTTTCTATTTTGCATA